CTTGGTCCTGGACCCACCTTATTTTCCTATTGAGAACATGGCACTACATAAAGGTCTCTGATTTAATAATACACTGCATCCAGAAAGATGTATCCCCATCCCTTCAAGATGTTTCCTCAAAGATGGAGCTTTAGTTGCATCTTCAGAAGGCCTGTCCAGCATTCTGTGTGGCTGGCAGCCCCTGGGTGGTGCAAACTGTGATATGACCAGTGGATCTCATGGTCATGGCCCAGCCTGCACCTCCTTCACTGTGAAGTTGGCCCCTGGTCAGATACTCTGCTAAGAGCAATTCCAAGTCTGTGCATCAGGAATTTCAATGGTCACCAGGTAGCAGTGCTGGCTAAAGTTCTGAGGACCAGAAAAGAAGATCCGTACGTGGAATAGGTGTCTGTCCCAGTGAAGATGAACCTCTGGTCCTCCAAGGATGGAGGGGACAGAAAGCAAGTCAATTTGTCAATTAGCAGCTAGTTGGTCACTCAAGAGACAGTGCTATATCAAGGCCCGGTATTGGTCTCTAATGCTGACAAGTTGAACATTCAGGGGCAGGTGTCGGAATTCTAAAGTCAATGTTCACCCGCTCGATGCCCATGCCTCGGCTGAACAGGTTGGTAGCCACAAGAATTCACTGTTGAAAATCTTTAAACTGTTGATACTGAGAAAGCCTTTGTGAGAAAGGAAAGCAGAAAAATGTTGAAAGTCCCCTCTTTAATGGCCTCTTGTCCTCGCAAGGACACAAAACATCTTCCTCATCTCTGACTCACCTCTCCTCCTGGGGCATCCCACAGAGGATGGCAATGGCTGGGAAGTTTTGCTCCACTAGGAGGCGGGCCAGGGCAATGCAACGCTGCACAGACCTCAAAAGCATCATTATGTGTTGGGGGAGGGGGGTGGTGGTGAGAATGAGGAGATGTGGGCTCCCAGGCAGGCTGCCTTAAACTCCTTGAGCTCACAGCCACCCTCAGACATGGCCCTGTCCACCAAAGGGCCCAGGAGCCAGGCCCACACACAAGTGCACAGGCACTAGACCTAAGATTCCCAGGGCCCTGGACCCAGCTTCCCGAAACCCGTGGACCCAGCTCCACCCATCAGTGGGCAGGCACCAGCCCCAGGACACTCTGGGCCCCAGCACTATCCACCAGCAAGTTGATACCAGCCTCGGGACCAGCCTCACATACCAATCAGCAGGCTCCAACACCAGAACCCACTAAACCTCAACTCCCTCCACCAGTGAACGGATACCACCCCCAGGACCACCACAGCCCCAAGTCTGACAGGGCAGGACCCAGCCCACCTACCAGCAGGGCAATGCCAGCCCCAGGTCCTGCTGGGCCTCAGTGCCATACACCAGCAATACAACACCAGTTCTGGGATACCTGGGCCCAGCAGCCAGAGAACCCAGGTCCTGGCTCTGCCTGCCAGGGGGCCAGCACTAGCCCCAGGGCCCAGTTTCACCCACTGGTGAGTGGGCACCAGCCCTGGGATCATCTGGACCCCAACCCCACCCACCAACAGGTGGACACTGGCCCAGGGACCAACACAGCCCCGCAGCCTGCATTGTCAGGACCCAACCAACACACCAGCAGGCTGGCACCAGTCCCGGGACTTCCTAAGCTCCAGCCCTGCCCACCAGCAGGTCAACTCCTGCTCTGGGACACCTTGGGCCCATCAGCCTGCTGCCCTGAGATCCAGCCCCATCCACCAGCAAGTTGACACCAGCTTTGGGACCCCCAGGGTCCCGCAATCAGAGACCCCAGGACCCAGCTCCACCTCCCAGTGAGTGGGCACAAGCCCTGGGATAACCCATGCCCCGGCCCCACCCACCAGCAGGCCAACACCAGCTTTGGGATACCTTAGACTCCTCAGCCAGCCACCCCAAGATTCAGCCCCACCCACCAGCATACCAACACTAGATCCGGGAACCCGAACCCACAACCATACCCCCCCGGAACCTGGATCTGCCCACCAGTGAGCCAGCTTTAGCCCCAGGACCCCCTGGGATCCCACACAAGCTACCTCATGACCCAGCCCTGCCAAACAGCAGCCATCAGCTTCTGCACAAGGCAAGGCCTGGCAATCAACCAGACCAGGGGCCAGCCATGTCTACTAGATGGTCCACAGTAGTCAGCCCACCACAACAGAAGGACTCACACAGCCCACATAGGGGGCACCCCTAGAGCATATAGCTTTGGTGACCAGAGAGGAGTGTACAGCTGGGATGCATAATGTCTCCTACAAAAGGCCACTTTTCCAAGATCAGGAAATGTAACCAATCTATCAGATACATAGAAACAAGAACAGCAAGTTAGCCAAAATGAGGCAACAAAGGAGACTAGAAATCAACTACAAGAAAAAATCTACAAGAAACACAAACACATGGAAGCTAAACAACATGCTAATGGATCACCAAAGAAATCAAAGGAGAAATTTAAAAATACCTAGAGACTACTGAAACAAAAACACAATGATCCAAAATCTATGGGACACACAGAACTGGAACAAATAATCCTAAAATTTATATGGACCACAAAAGACCTGAAACTGCCAAAGCAATCTTGAGAAAAAAAATCAAAGCTGGAAGTATCATACTCCCTCATTTCAGATTATTCTGCAAAGCTACAGTAATCAAAACAGCATAGTACTGGCACAAAAACAGACACATAATAAACTCACACATCTAGCCAGTTAATCTACAACTAAGGAGGCAAGAATATACAATGGAAAAAAGTCTCTTCAACAAGTGGTGATGGGAAAACTGACAGCTACATGTAAAAGAATGAGATTAGAAAATTTCCTCATACCATATATAAAAATAAACTCAAAATGGATTTAAGACCTAAATGTAAGACCTGAAACCATAAAACTCCTAGAAGAGAAGACAGGCAGAACACCCTCTGACATAAATAGCAGCCATGTTTTTTCAGATCTGTCTCCTAAGGCAAAGGAAACAAAACAAAAGCAAAAGTAACCATGTGGGACCTAATTAAACTCTCATAAGCTCTTTTTTTTTTGGTCACGCCGAGTGGTGGCAGTGAAAGCAACGAGTCCTAACCACTGGACTGCCAGGGAATGCATCCAAAAATAAATAAATAAAAATAAATAATTTAAAAAATACTACTAGACATAAATAAAACTTATTATATAAAGAAAGACTATTAGATACAGGAATAACAAAAATAAATATACACAGTAACAAATCTATGTTTACATTTATCTATCTTCATCCCTTCATTTCCATGACTATGAGATCCACAGCTCATCCAATAGATTTGAACTGATCCAAATACCAGCCTTTTCTTTAGTTCTCACAAAGCCAAATCCACAGACTCTATTATAATTCACAACTTAGGACTGCACACTGCAAGTTATTGGATGTTAGTCAATTTTGGAGTTCATAACCTGAAACAGAAACTCAGATGGTTGGGAACTCCCTGGTGGTCCAGTGGTTAAGACTCCATGCTCCCAATGCAAGGGACCCAGGTTCAATCCCTGGTTGGGGAACTAGATCCTGCATGCCACAACTAAGATCCCACATGCCTCAAGTAAGACCCAGCACAGCCAAATGAATTAAAAAAAAAAAAAAAAACCCTCAGATGGTTGAAATGTCTAATTTTCAGGAAGGATACTTCGTTATTTGTGCATCATTTAGATTGTCTTACACAAGTTTTATTTTCTTAACAGCTGCTTATCTTGCTTTTAATTTATAAATGTGGTTAGTTTCACTTCAGTGTTGAATGTTGTGGGCTGTTTAATCGTATACTAGTTTCCCTTAACTGTAACAACAGTAGTTTGGGCCTCTTATGTCCCAATAAGTAGGACTTTAGCCTGTGCATACACTGCAGTTCAAAAATGAACCATGTATAACTCTATCACCGAGAGACAAGAAGGAAAGCTTCTCTCCTCCAAAATTTTACAGGGATTCTTTTTCTACTGAAAAATGGGAACCTGCCAGCTAATGGGGAACATGAGGTCTCTGACCTCATCTAAAGGTGCTTCAGCCCTTCAAGAACCATTGACCTGCAGGAAGGTCTTCCTCTCTGGTTCTTGGACCCCCACACCATGGAAGAGGCCATCTTCCCTCCGAATTCAGTGTGATGTCCCAGATAGCAAGCTGGTTAGCAGCTGCCCACTCTCCAGCAACCTTGCTTTCTGAGGCATGTTTTCCTGTCTGAGGACCTATCTTTTCCTAAAAGATCGAAGCTGGAACCATCCATCCCCTTCTGAGCCACAGAGGTGTGGCTGTGCCCTACATCCACAACAGGACATCACAGGACACACTGCAGGAAGTCTGATATGTATACCTAAGGCTCACACAGTGGGTGCACAAGGCTGTTGTTCTAATGCAGATTTGATGGGAGGGCTCACCAGTTCAACAAAGCTTGAAACTGGTACCAGTGTATAGTGCCCAGACTTACCAGAGAAGGCAAACCGTGACGATGTGCAATGTACAACAGGGACAAGGAAAAAGGTCCCTCTGGGCCAGCAAGAAGAGAAAAGGGAAACAGAGGGAGAAGCAATACTTGAGCCAGGTCAATGGGTATGAGCATTCAAGTCAGGTAGACCTGGGGGTGAATCTTCCTGGCTTTTCCACCAACCAGCTGTGGAGCCTTGAGCACATCCGGCCCAGAGAGGGCCCCAGCCCATACTTACTGAATTGAGTGCTGAGTGAAAATTCTCTGACCACTTCCTCATCTGCCAACCAGTAATGCAATTCCTACCTTGCAGATTTGAGAGAAAACACACAGTGCTAAGAAAAACAGACACAAGACATGCAGTAGGCTGGGGACCAGGGTTCTAAAGCAAGTTCTGCCTAACCTGGCAGGAGCATTCTCACACCAGGGAACATGAGTTCCTGAACTCTGTCTGGGGCCAGGTTAGGAGGCGGGCCGGTGCAGCAGAGCAGGGCAGGGGCAGGGCCAGGCACTGAAGCGAGGCCACAGCCCGGAGGGAGCCAGTTCCTGGTGGCTGTTGGGTGGCTCAGACAGCTCCTTGCCTCCCCAGCCATGGTTCTCCCTTTGCCCTGGCTCTCCCGAAGCTGCTGCCGTCGCCTCCTCCTGCCACCCTGGCCCCTGGCACTCCAGGGCTCCTGGAGGTGCTGCTCCCAGGGTCCCAAGGCAAGTACAGAAAAGACTAGCTCCACAGGCGCTGGGCAGATGTCACCTTCCAGGGTAAGTGGCACCAAGAGTGAGGGTGGAGGGCAAATTTGTACTGGGGGAAGGAATCCCCTCCCATCTCACCCTGTACCACAGGCCAGGTGAGTGCAGATACTACCCCCACACCTAGAGCATGCTGCCTAGCTCCTCAGTTCCCCAGCACCCTCCCTGCCCCCACCCCACTCCAGACCTCAGGGCACCCTCTACCTACACCCCTCCCTCCCTACACAGTCCACGAAGTCCTTGAACAGGAATTTCCCCTCATCCAACAGTTAATTATTTCTCAGGGCCAGTTGGGACAGCCAGTTCTCCCCTTCCCATACATAAGTCCCCTTCACACAGAAGTCCAGTTATAGCCCCTGGGCTGTGATCTCTAACTTTCCCCCTCCCCCCAGGCCTATGCCTAAGACAGGAAGCAGTACAGATGTACTGCTGTTAAGGTCATGTGTACTGCAAGCACTGCAATACAGACCTTAAACTAATGGTGCTGAAAAACAGGAAGGAGGCAGTGAACCTCAGCCCCCTGCCCTGGCTGATGTTCTCTCCCTAACACCCACCTCTGCCAGGACCCCTGGCCCCGCCCCACAGCTGAGCTGGCCCAAGCTGAGGAGCTGCTGGAGCAGCAGTTGGAGCTGTACCAGGCCCTGCTCGAAGGGCAAGAGGGGGCCTGGGAAGCCCAGGCCCTGGTGCTCAAGATCCAGAAGCTGAAGGAACAGATGAGGAGACACAGAGAGAGCCTGGGAGAAGACACCTAAGCTTTCCACCAGTTGCCACTTCACCCTTCTACACTGGAAATACTGCACACTACCCTCCCTCCCCAGCCCCTTTGATCAGAAACATCCCAGCCTCTCCCAGGCCACTAAGGAAATGGAAGAAACCACCACCAAGGGCCAGAAATTGCAAAGTAGTGAGAAGCCACGGCCTCTGCAGTCTTTTCAGTGACATCCCCCAGTCTGACACTTCCTACTGACCTCCACCCCACAGCAGTGTACACAGTCCCCACGGGAATTTACTCCAGATTATGCCCTAAAATAGCCTCACCCCATATCCAATAAAGGGACGGTGCGCTTACAGACACCACAGACGCATGTGTTTTTTAGTTTTGTTAAAAAAAATTTTGACAAATCAGGGAAATGGGGGTTTAGGAGTGGTGGCGATGCAAAAGAGGGAAGCCATGGGGTGGGGGACGGGGTCATCAAGGGTAGGCGGCAGCAGTGTCTCCTTCACCCCCACGCCTGGCATCATCTCCTGAAGAGGAGCAGACTGTCACACTCCAGAATGGGTGGGGAGTTCTCTACCGCGTCTGTTCAACTGAAGAAAAACATGGCAGTTAGAATAAGGTATGGAAAAGAAAAAGCTAGGTTGGTAGAAAAGGCCCCCCCACCCCCGAAATACATGCAGATGTTTGTGCAGTGTGTGGGTCAGAGGATACATTTGGGGGTAAAAAAAGAAATACTTCGATGAGAAGTAATCTGATGAGAAGAGACTCCATAAGAGGTCAACTAAACATCCCAACAGGGCATCAAGATGGGGGTGCGGGGGAAAAAACAGATGACAAATTTGTCAAGTGCCCACTATGCACCAGGGGCTTTAAGAAAAAAACCCTCTAAGGAACAAGGAGAACCTAAAGGACTGGGGAAGCCAGTTTCATGAGATCATTACTCACTGTAGGAGGAGATGTCTATCTCATCAGGCAGCTCACTAATATTGACTTCAAAGCGATCCTGCACATCATTGAGAATCTTGGCATCATTCTCATCTGACACAAACGTGATGGCCAAGCCCTTGGTGCCAAACCGGCCTGCTCTGGCCACCTGGAAGGAGACAGATGATAGAATTGGTAGACCCCAAAGAAGGAAGACACCCAAGAGGAGGGGTGAAGATGTACGGTATGAAAACATAAAGAAACTAAGCGGGTGGGAGAGGACACTAGGATACCTTCCGGGTGTGGGGCTTACCCGATGCAGGTAGGTGTCAGAATCCTCAGGCATGTCGTAGTTAAAGGCAATGTTCACCCGCTCGATGTCCATGCCTCGGCCAAACAGGTTGGTAGCCACAAGAATTCGTCGTTGAAAATCTTTAAACTGCTGATACCGAGAAAGCCTTTGTGAGAAAGGAAAGCAGAAAAATGTTGAGGTTCCTTGCTCTCAAGGGTCTGTTTTCCTCGCAAGGACACAAAGCACCTTCCCCATCTCTGACTCACCTCTCCTCCTGAGGCATCCCACGGTGGATGGCAATAGCTGGGAAGTTCTGCTCCACCAGGAGCTGGGCCAGGGCAATGCAACGCTGCACAGACTTCACAAATATCACCACCTGTGTGTGTGTGTGTGTGTACATATAAGATTGGAGGGGATGTGCGTCCATGTGGGTGTGTGTGACAGATTACGTGCAAGAGTTTTCAGTAATTACACTCTTCTAAAAGAACTCCTCTTAGTCCCCATCACGTATTTCCTCTTCTGCTCTAAATATTACTTAGCCTTTCCCTCTTGGCTCTGATTTTTCCTGAGCAGACAGACATGCTGCAGAGAAGGTATGGAAAACAGTAACTAAAATTACCAGACATATTAGGAGACAAGGATGAAGTCACCTCACGAGTGGTAAAAATTTGAACTGAAGTCTGGAAAGACCACGACCAATATTCCAACTCACCAAAACGTCAAATGTAAGAACTTACCCTAATTCTAGAAAGTTTTTAGTGCAAGCAAATCACACAACAGGTAAAGTGATGGAACACTTCTCCCTCAGTAAGTAGTAAAAGAAACAAAACTTAAGAACCGAACAGGCCTAATATATTTCCGGACTTTCACCACCTTATTCAAACTCTTCAAGGATTTTATAATTTGAGCTTTATTTTGTTGAATACCTATGCCAGCCATGGAACAGAAAAGCAGTTCCCACCTTGCTCACGGCTCAGTGCCACCAAAAGACATTTTTCTCTCATTTAACAGAATTTTCATTTAAGAGAATTTTTCCACCATTCTTTCACATGACACACATGGTTTCCTCAATAAAAGGATATATTATAAAGGTTCCTGCAACAGTTGGAGACGTGCTCATTCTCCCTACTGGACCTTGAACAACTGACCTGGTTGAATTCAAGGACATCCAGAAGGTCAAAGAGCTTCCGGTTCTTCTCGTTGTCCTTCAGTTTCACGTAGTACTGCTGCAACCCATGCAGCGTCAGCTTCGTCTCATCATCCACGAAGATCTCCATTGGCTGGGGGGGAGGGGGGAGGGAAGGGGTGGGGAACGGGAGGAGGGCAGAGTGGGGGGGTTAAACCTGGGGGGGTGGAGGAAGTTGATCTCCAATACACCCCATGGCGGGATGGGGAGAAGAGAGGAGATTGGAAACCCAACCCCACCCCCAAAAATACCCACATTTTAATGTGGTCTTTTCCACAGTAGATCTAATTTCCTTCCTATCAGTTGAGTTTTAAGATTTTCCAACTGAAAATTTTCACCGGAAAGAAACTTTGCAGGGAGGAAAAAACAGTACAACCACCCAATGGCAAGATGCCATTACCTCAAATGGAGGTGGTGGAGGAAAGAAAACAATGGGAGGTGATTCTCCAAGAGAGGACATGATCCAAACACCTGGGAAATGATGGAAAACAGTGACTCGAGGTCAGAATAACTCCATCAGAGCTGGTTTAATACCGGGGAGAGGAGAAGGACTACTCCATTTTATGCTCTCAACTACGAGAATCATATCCCCATTAGGAAGGTGGATGTCTTCCATATCCCTATTAGGACGGTGGAAGATCAGAATGCTTCAGTGGACATAAATCAAAATGCCATGAAAAGAGAAGCAAAAATTACTCAAGATGAGCAACAACTTGCCCTCGGACCACAAGGAAACAGTTTTAAATAAGACTGGTCTCAACTAAAAATCAAACCACCTATACTGTTACGTGGAAGGTATTAATAAGTGGTGCTAAGAAACAAATTCAGAGCAGCAGTTATTCACTCATCTTTAAAAACAAAACAAAACATATACACACACAACCCTTGAAGGGAAGGAAGGCAGCATTAAAAAAAAAAAAAAGGCGGAAACTGACCCAAGACTCAACTCCAAAGCCCAACTTTCCTAGCACTCTTCACTAACTTGAAGACATAGTTAACATAAAACCCCAGGGTCCAAGATTTCGGGAAAGGATGTGTGCGTCATGGGAGAAAACCAGAAGCCCAATCTCAGAAGTCAGACTAGCAAAGGCAGGCTTTCCAAAGAGAAGTTCCATGGCTTCTTTCAGATCTAATCTGAGCCCCAAGTACAGCTGAAGAGTTTTGGTCCCATGGGAAGGAGCAGAGCAGGGAGGGAAAGAACACACTCCACTGCTTATACAATGGCCCCACCTAGCCCCAGACCCTAGCACCCACCTGGTTACATCCAAGTGGAGCTCCTCACTTTACCTTTCCCATATCCCTCTAAGTATTAAAAAAAAAAAAAGTGTTTAAAAAATGAAAAAAAATCTACCACCCCATTCAGAACACCCCTCCCCACCAACACAAATGGAGGGAAACAGGGAACACGGCACGCCTTGGGTTCAGGAAAAAAACCGGGAACGGAAAAAGAGGCTGGTTTGGTCCTCGGCTTCCTGGTCAGGTTCCCCGCGGCCTCCGCTGCCGCCATCCACCGCCGGGTGCCGTCCGCATTCCCCCGCCGCGCCACGGTGCTTCTCTGCTGCCGGCTCACATCAACCGAGGTTCCGGATGGGTGCGAGGAGGTACGGGTGGGAAGGAGTATGGACTCGGGGATTGAGGTGCCAAAGGCCCCCACCCCTGGAGGTGGGGAGGAAGCGGATTCATCTGTGCTGTTTGCTCTTCTTTTGGACATGCCCTGCCATCTGTCTGTCCCTCTCTTGCTCTCCTGCCACCGGGACATTATGAGTTTGGGGAGCAGAAGGCTCTGGTTGTATGCTCGATGCCACCTTGAGGGTGCGTGGCTGTAGGGAGTATGTAGGAGACGATGGGTGGGTGGTAGGGCAGAAAATCCTGCCCTCCCCCAAAAGGGAGAAGAGGTTCAAAAATGCTGTGATTTAAAAAAAAAGTCGAACACTTCCCGCTCTCACGTTAACCCGACCAAGTCTTCCGGAGTTTCCCTGGCGCCCGCGCAGACCCTAAGACTAACTGTCTCTGCCTCTATGTGTCTCTTCAAGGAGTCATCACTCCCAAATGGGCATGTGCCCCCTTCTTGGCGCTTGAAGGACAAGGGAGTCTGGAGGAAGAGGGCGCGGAGGGGGAGGAGGCAGCGGGCGGGGAGTGGAGGGAGAGAAGGTAGAAGGGTATTTACGTCTTGCATGAACTTGCGGCAGACTGGGCGAATCTCTTTGCTCAAGGTAGCACTGAACATCATGACCTGCTTCTCATGGGGGGTCATGCGAAAAATTTCCTGGACATCCCGACGCATGTCTACAAGAAATAGAAACTATAGTAAAAGAGAAGCATATATCGTAAACAAAGACCAGAAACAGGTGTACCAATGAGGTAAAGACTGTTGGTAAGCAAGAGTCTCGGTTCAGGGGAAGATTTGCCTCAGGCCTCTCTCTACTCTATTTTCTCCAACCACCATATAATCATATCCATAGTAATAACACAGTGGAAAGAACAATGGATTTGGGACCAGGTTCCAGCTGTGTATTTTAACCACACAAGAAATTAGATGAAACCCCAAAGCCCACAACTAAAACATGGGGATAAAGCCCACTGCAGAGGCTCACCAAGATAAGCCCTTTGAAAAATGCTTTACAAGGAAGGC